CTCTTCCTAACCCAATTTCTCCCTCAAAGACTAAAATTCTAGAGAGAGAAAGTTAGAGAGAGAAATGAGAAAATTTTGAAGAGAAAGGGGGACTAGCTTACAAAGAGTCATTAATATCGGTAAGGGATTCAATATTTTCTTGCACATTCTAAGAGTTATTTTTTAAAAAAATAAAGAAATAAATTTTGATTTTATTGCATGATTGTGGCATGATTTTTAAAGAAATGGATGTTGATTTTATTACATGATTGTAGCATGATTGTGAGAGTGTGATGAGTTATTAATTATGATGATTGTTTTAACTATACATGCATCGTGTAAAGACTAGTTTGTTATTTCATGAACGAAGTTAAAATGCAATCGATACAAGAAGAGATTACATGAAATTGTTGACATGACATAAAAGATATAAATGGATACATGAAACATGAATTAATCCATTAAACTATTTTATCTACTTTTGTTGTCCCCACCCTATCTAGAAAGACGTGAGATGACCACTCTCTGTGGATGACAATGTGAAAGTGCATAGGATATCCTAGGACTGCTGTGGTGAAGAACGATCGTGGTCATAGTCTTTAGGACCACAGTGGTACGACAATAGTCATAGATCGTGCTATAGTGTGGCGAGTCGCAAATCTATTGTGGTTGAGTAAGCCGTAAGTTACTGTTAATGTCACCATAATGGTAGTTGGGAGTCCATATTAACCAGTAGATAAAAAGTCGTAACAGGCTTTGCATTAAGTATGGTAAAAGACTTAATAATAGTTACTATTCTGATTTGTTTGATTTTCTCTCACTTGATGAGTTATTTGTATTATTATGTTGTTTAATGATCATGATATTAAATATTTTCATACATTAATTCTACTCCTATGGATCATTGTAAACGGTAAGCGAAAAAAAAGGTATATTTCTCGAATGCTTTTTAATTTTATAAAATTTCTTAGTTGTGTCAATTTATTACTATAAGCCTTACTGAGTTTCATAGAACTCACCCTTTCTACGCTTGATTTTTAGATGAGTTGTCTGCTGAGTTACCTTTTGAAGCTTGCCTGGATCCTATGGATCCATGATCATTGATGAGTGCCTGTGTTTTGTTCCGTACTCTGATGAGTCCATTTACATAATGATAGAAGTGGTCCTCTTTTGTATTTTATCACAACTTCTAGTCTCAGTTGTATATGTAATTGGAAACTCATATATTATAAGAAATTTTATTTTGTAAAAATTTTCGTTGCATATATTCTCTTTAATGCACTCGTATTCTATATTGGTATCTGGCACCCTTATGCTATAATTAGTATTGGGGATGTCACAGCACAAGTGAAGCCTTGCCGACTGGAAACAAGTGCAACATGATCTTGGGTTTTGTCAGATTTTGTTACTACAAATCTTCTCCAAAGTTTCCTCCTTTAAACCTTAGGACCCAAGATTGAAAAATGAAAAATATTAACATCAGAAATGTAGATTTTATATGTGTGCCTAAAGATTAAGAAGAACAAAAAGAAGCTTGTTTTTTTTTTCTTTTAACTAATAGATCTTTAGTGCGTACCTTTGGATTTAATTTATAATGAATAACTTGAGAAGTTATGTAGGTTGTAGAAAACGAAGCTTTCATGATACTTCTTCTTTACACCAGTCAAGGAGACTAAGTTTTATTGACGAACAATTGAAACGTAATGGGAGAATATATGACATACGGTTGAGTATGTTATGTAGATTGTTGGAAATTTAGATTTTATTTTATACTATAGTTTACAAAATCTTTAAACTTAAATGAAGAATCTATGAGTATCTAGAATGTGATTTTACTTTTTAAAATTTTTGACTTTAATGAAGAATCTATTGCTATTTGAGAAACAATTTTATTTTATTTATTTGATATCTTACTTAATACATATAAAATAATTAAAAATATTAATTTAATTAATTCTATGGGTACCAATTGTATAAAATTAACTTTTAAATTTTAATATATGTGCTAAAGAACTTATTTCTAATTTATTTTTTAAAAAGTAAAAGATAATTTTATTAAGATAATAATGTAAGTTTATTGCCACACATAAGGTACAATGTCAAATTACACAAAAAAAATGGTTATACTTTACAATAATATGATTAGTTATTTTAATATAATGTATCTAGTTTAAACCATGTTCACATACTAATATATAAAAATCAGTGAGTAATTAACTTTGGCAACATGATCTAATTGTTAGCAAAATTTTTGAAATACTTTTTAATATCCTAGTCAAAGTATAGTGTAATATAAAAATATAAGTTAATAACTATGATGTCCCAATGCCCGAGGGCAACAACGTCCAATCCAACTATTAAATAAAATTTTATTTTCAAATATACTACGGCTGAACATTCCATCCCTTACAAACTCGCATTCAATATTTTGAGGCAAAAGTTAACTATCTAGATATATACATCAGTTTGAGTTAACTAACAAAATACAATTCTTTTGCCTCTATTCAAAATATATAAAAGTCATCTTATTCTAGTCCTTGTGGAATGGATCCAAACATGCATCCAGAGGCAGATCTTCATTATCATATGGGGAACTAGATTAAGGGTGAGTTCCAATCATTCAATAAGACTACTAATAATAGATTTACACAAACAATGTTTTGAAAACCAATAAATTCAGCTTATAAAATTACAGTTTAATTGATATAGACTTCAGTACTTTCATCAATCATTTAATAATTTCAGTTATCACAGTAAGGTCAATAATGCACTCA